AAAAACAAAATGTTTTACAAATAAATTAATCATTATATATCAGCAGGGTCCCGGAAAGTCCCATAATCAACATAGACACATTACTATTGCTTAAAAGACCCCAATGGAAATAAGTCTCTCTGACTTTTTTGGGTTATCCCAGGTTCTCTACACATATGCTGTATTTGTGTACACCTGAATAAACGTACTTACTACCACCCATAATAATATTCTTTCAACAGGTTAGATGGGTGCATGGGTGGGTGTGAGTTAGACCTACCTAGTGTGGGCTTGTGGGCGTACTGCAATACTCCCTTTTTTTACGTTCTCCCGTGAGTTTGGAAATGGTCGTTCAGTGGTCAGAATATTTTCGAAAACCCAAGTGAAGATGCGTCATACTGTTCAACTCATCTTGGCTGTCGCAGCCATTGTGCACATTTATAATATTGACAGATCTGTGCATGCAATCAGACTGGGTAACAGAGCTGTGCATGCATCAGACTGGGAAATAAAGCTTTGATAAGCAATCAGAGTATGAAAATATCTATTCATGACCAGTTAACAGTGTGATGGTGAGAGGTGTTTCGAGCAGTGTAGATTGCATCTGCACTGTCATTTGATTCCAGTTATAACAAATTTCATACTGAGGTGTTTGAGGCTGTTGACTATAGAGTTATTGTCCTTCGATCACAAAAAAAATGTACATTTGATTTCCGATCTGACATAGATCAATTTACATGACTGACTGATAACTTCTTAGGCCCTGGTTATTATCCACGGAATGAGAGTGACCTAACTCACTCACTTACTTACGTGTGCTTACTTAATCAACAAAGAGGAGTGACTCCACATTTTTTTCGGAAGGGATAGGACATCAGTGATAGGGAATTTAACCTACAACATACCCCTTTATAACTTATCAGTTTTAGCACCTTAATTCCTAGGTGAGAATATGGGTTCAGTACCGCAAGTTCATATAGGTGAAAGCATTACATATAAGAACAAGAGGAGGATGTAACCCACATGCCAGACTACCATGGTTGATAGACAGTAAAAGAAGTTAGAGTTCTTCATAGGATACAGTAAGAGTATTTTGTTAGTTTGCTAAAATATTTATATGTACACCTCAATAACATATTGTGGATGGTAAGTCAATAAGTATTTGCAGACACATAATGGGTCCAGGGACAGCACCGTGCAATGGTAGCAAAGTTTACAGATAAAGAACTACTTTCAAGTTTACCTTCAGTTATGTCTACATAAAATGTTGATGCAAATTAAAAGAGATACTTGTAGCTCAGTAGAATCCAGACAGTAGCGACATCCAAGGGTCTGCTGATATTATTTGATGAACCATAGACACGTGGTTCCTCCTGCATGTTTTGTTTGCAATCGTGTCATTAAGATTTCGTGGGCAATAACTGACTGGTGTCAACTTCATTCAGTCTCAAGTCAATGAAGTTCAGTTGTAGTTCTTTTCTTTGTATTGTCCTGAAACTATTAGTTGACAACCTAAAATTGTAATTCACTCCCTCCTTGAAGGCCAGTTCATCAATTATATCATGCATTTGAAGACTAGTGTGTAATGCGGTGGCGGACCTACATTTTTAGGGCCCTGAAGCTTGAACTGTTATGGGGGCCCCTTCGCAGCCCCATCTCATACAGTAGACCCAACATTTTTAAGCATTGTGGACTAAAGTCACTTCTGGGCCCCTCTGGGAACAGGGGCCCTGAAGCTTAATCTTCATTAGTTTCATAGTAGATCAGCTCCTGGTGAAATGGAATTCACTGAAGGTGGACTCTGATTCCATTGTCTACAGGTCAACCATACCTGTGTCTGGCTTCTAACACAAGCATGCCACAATTGGAACTCTCTGAGTCAAGAGAATGTATGGACGATAGATATAATCAGTTACAGTTAGGTATCATCCTTAGATACATGGACGCACTTGACGGCAAACAGTTCAATTGAGAGTGGAAGCTTAAGCGTTGATTCATACTCCAGTTTCTATGTGGAAGCCTTCACTTGTAAGACAACAGTGCCACTACCAGCTGCACCAATGGGTTGATGAACATAGCCGTCAACACGCACGATTTGTGGAGGAGTGTTATGTGACAAAGGAATCAGTACAATTTAAGCCATCCTGTTTGGCTTCAGAACGAAGTTTTGGTTACGATTTATTATGGTTGTTTTGGGGAAAGTGGTTTAGAAAGAGGAACCGCTGATGTCTTACTTGACATGGATCATGTATCTGATTCATTTTCAGATTTGTTTCAGTTTCTCTTTCATGCCACCTGTGAATGACTTGGTTTTCATGAAGCTTAAAGAGACAGTAGCTGCTCTTTTTGCAGCCTCAGTATTACAGAAAGTTGATATTGACTTGCATATGTTAAAACTGCCGGGCTTCTGTGAGGTAATATTAATGGCAGGAATTATGGAGGCCTCCACACATTTTCGTCTGCATACATCATTTTCATGAATGGCTTATCTAGCTATGTTGTTCGTGAAAATTGGTAAGGTGACCCAAGAAGGCACTGTGACTTACCAAATCTTCTTAGAAGGGTACAAACATCACAATGCAGTGATAACTTATTAATCTACAACATCTCAGCATGACTTACAAGTGTAAACACCTTACGTACTACCCAAAAGATAGACTTTACTCTCACAAGCTCATATAAGTGAAAGTGTGCACAAGGAGAGCAAAGAAAGATATTAAATATGGTATATAAAATACCACGTGGCATAGGGAGAGAGTATAGAAAAATAAGCCCTTCAACAGGGACTACACCAAAATAAATGGCAAGGTTGTAAATTACACATGTAACTGAACCACAAGACACACTTCACCAGTTGGGGCAGGGGATGATTGACGATTTGGAAAGAGTAGAGTAATGGAGAGGTAGTGTGGGGTGATCAGTCCATCACACTTGATGGAAGATAATTATCAGTCTCTTATCCTAAAGCAAATACTCATACTTCCTCTCCATTCTGTCTACTATCTCCAGGTTTGTAATTCATCTCTGTATTTCTATATTTGATGATGAAGTCTTGCAGCACAAGCGAAACATTACGTCAATAAAGATACCTAAGTGTTGTATGTGTCTTACTCATCAATTTGTCGGTAACGGATTCCATTAATAATATGAATGAGGTAAGAAACATACACAGTATATCATGATCAATTACACATCAATGAGGAGTGCAGCCTGTAGCAATAACTTTTCAGCCATGTTCCAGCCACATCAGAGGCGTTACTCTACCATTGATAAAGAAGCCCGTTGCGCGCTGGTCTGGCCTTTGGAGTCATTTCGATGTTTATGTGGCCAGACATCGCAGTTGGTCACAGTCCAACAGTGATCACAAACCCTCTAGTATATTTACCAAGCCATGAATAACCACTACACAAGTCTCATACGCTGGACTCTAAGGCTGCAGCCCTATAAATATTCCATTAAATATATTTGCCGCAAAGAAAATATGTTTGGCGGACTCTTAGACAAGATCTAATATTTTGTATTTAATTTAGGTTAGGATGTTTTAATTTGTGGTAACCGCCTTTTAACGCTCTTTTTTTTATCCCCGGGTGTGGGGTTTTTTGTTTTAGAGATGGGATTCGGGCTACTGTCCACCCCATCAAAACTCCTGTATCTTGGACCTATGCAACCTTCTGACTGCTGTCTCACCTAAGTTATAGGTGTTTGCTTTTGGTCACAGAAAAGCTGAGCACATCAAAAGAGTTGGATGGTGGAAGGAAAGGCTGTCCCATTATTTTGTGCCATGGCGGCACGGTTACCACTGGGAGGAGGCAGCCTAATCCGAGCCTCTCGGGGTGGGGGTGTGGCATGCAAAGAGTAGTAACCTTCGCGCATGTACACACCCTCATTTACAGGCTATCTCCCCCCAACCCTCAACCAGGTTGGCCTAAGATTTGATGCTAGTGCCCGTCGTTCACAAGTGACCAGGTTCTAGCCCAATAAGTTAGTTTTGGCAATCGCAGAGGTTAATTGGGTACCGCTCTGCCTGTCTGCCTTGTCATTCCCATTCTAGAGCTGGATGAAGCACGTCTGCTATCTTGTGTGCTCTATTAACATGCCTTGCTTACCGTTGAGTGCACTATACTTATCACTGTACATAGGTGTACATATTGCTGTTCTAAATTGTTGAAGGATAATAAGTCTAAACTTTTCTGCTGTGTTTATTTTTCTCCCATAACACCCGGGATAACAGCCATTTGATTCCTGGTTGTAATAATGGGAACATCATTTGATAAGTTTAGACGATAGTAACACTTACTGTTACATTATTTAGACTTGATGATAGGTTGACAACATTACTGAACATTTGTTCAGAAGAACAGAGGTAAAAAAAGGCACAGGTGAAAACATACTTGACGTTCCTCCTCCCTTCGGCTAGATTGGAAGTTCATACTTGTCGTTTCCCCACCAGGAACACGACCACCACCTGGGCACCCACTATCAGCCTGCTGTCCTGTGTTACCTGGGTGTACGTCGTGCAGGTGAGACCTATAGTCACACTTCTAGCACATCATTCCTCTTTTTTGAATAGGTAAAAATTTAGCTATCAGTTACGATTACCTTTTGATATAGACCAGTGTTAGAACAATTGCCCTGTTTCATGATTTATAAACACCTCCCACCACAACAACCAGAAATAACTGATTTAAGAACCAGGAATAATGGATTTACGTTAGATAAATTTAGATTTAAAAAGGCCATAGGTAAGTACTGGTTTTTCAGATTGTGGAGCGTGTAACAATCTTCCGAGTAGGTTAACAAGAGGCAAAGACCTTGGGTAGCTTTAACAAGGAGATTTGACAAGTATATGAATGGAGGGCTGTGTTCATTGTGTTTGTGAATGTGTAGGCTGCCCCAATTGTTGCCCCATGCCGCAAGTTTTAATTAACTTAAACATCCACCCACTTCCTCTCCAACCACATTTCATTCCAGCCACAATTTCCTTAACCACCAGTTTTCATAAATCACCTCTCCCCAGCTATCAGTTTCACAAGTCATCCCCCTCTCGCCCAACATAGCATTTCATACAATACTTCTCTTTGATAAGATTTTAAACTGCAGTCACATCTCCTAGAAACACCATTCTTTTGTTCTCACTGACCTTGACGAATAGGACACATGATCTTGAGGTTTGGTAGGTCGAGGAATCTGAGTCGTGTGAGGCCCAGAACTCCAACTGCAGATGGTTTCTCTTCCATGGCTGCACAAACACCTCTGCCAGCTGTTTCTGAACCCACCGCAAAACAACTTCAATAGGTTCCTGCCCCTCTGTTGCCACACGCAACAAAAATAAAAGTAAGTAATTAGGTCGAGAAATTATGTAAGAAAATAGTGTAAGTAATTAAATGGCTTATTCAAACTCATTTCAGTTTGTTTAGATTTCAATTTATCTACTGAATCAATTAAGATAAAATTCTGCACACAGCTAAGATAGCAAAATCTGGGTAATAGGTATTTTGATATCAGAATAATTTCGCGCACGGGGGGGGGGGGGGGGGGGGGGGGGGAGGGGTAAAAACAGAGTCGATAATACATTGAGGGAATCAAAGCTGCTTCAGAGGCACATTAAAATTTAGCTCTTGTAACCTGAACAATATGATGAGGGAGGCAACCACAACGTGGCTCGAAACTGCAGCCTACAAAAAGGGGGGGGAAACAGGCGTCAGGAAAGTATGCTATATCACCACCACCAGTATTACAGAAAGTCAGCAAACCTTTCTACCTAATGGCACTGTTTGTTTTACATCCCACAATGAGATTAGATTCTCAACTCTTGCCCCCACCTTTACCAGACAGTTACTGGGTTTTCCTCTCCCCTAGCTCTGTCACTCATACTATACACATTCTAAACCATGTTCTATCTAGCTGGCGAATATTGCTGGCTCACTAACACACCTTTCAAGGCAGGTGAAATTGCTGACCAAGAGAAATGATACATAGAACCTTCACGGCGCGTCATAAACGGATATAAAATCGCAAGGTTCCACGAGCACTCTGTCTCTATACTAGTCTGAATGGATTCTCGGGATGTATGATGTTTGATTACAACGCCTATTACGTTGATCATGGTGGTGTGGCTTCGTGTGAGGTTTCCCGAGTCATTCGAGAAGCAGGTTTGTGTAGGAGGTATTTAGCCGGTTGGTAGTACTAATTTTGTACAATTCTCAGCTTCAAGTGACTACTGTTGCAAAGCCTTGTCCCGTGATGTCCATACAGAATCAAAGTAGATGGAAGTAAGCCAAGGCTGCCAAGAGAACACCCCCCCAGTTACTAGTCCCCGAAGAGATGATCCCATATAGCACCAGCGTGAGAAAGGACAATCATCTTTGGGAAGTGTCCGTAGGACGAGAAGATGTGAAGTATCTGCAGTAGGACTGTACAGAGGTCCACGTTGGAATCTTGCCTTCCAGCATGGCGGGTGTCCTCTTCTCCCTCACGCGGTAAGTTCACAAGCTGGTCACATAAAAGTGGCGACACCACACTTGGGGCACACTGCCACCCACCACCACAACATGAGATGGCAGTATTCCACAGCATCCACTTATCACCATCATCACTCTCAAAACAACACGATACTCCATTGCTGTACAGAAAAGGTAAAGCATTATTGTGGCAAGTATCACGGAATAATTCAGTCACTATTGTAATATTGTTATCAAATTAAAAGAAAATATATAGAAACATTAATGATGCTTAATTATCTACTGTATTTATCTACTTGTAATTATCTATCTGGAATTATCTCTAGCTTTCAATAAAAACAATGCCTGTGGTGTCCTAAGCTTCACATATTAATATGTTGTGTATTCACCTGTGGTTGCAGGGATCAAACCTCTGCATCTGGCCCCTCTTTCGTACTGAGGCTTTCTCCTCACCTGGCTGCGTGAGTCCTATCATGCTTAGTCTTTAAAAGCTGCGTGTGATGTTGCTCTTCCATCTGCTATGAAGGTCACTCCGCTTCTGTCAATCTTTTAAAGTAGTCCCTAACATTCCCTGTACTCATCTGTGTTTTTAACTTCCATCTGTGCCCCTCGTTACCCTGATTACCGCCTTCTCAGACAGTCTGACTGACTACCCTGTCAATTTATCTAGGGAATTGAACCTTATTGTCGTGTCACTTGCTGTCTGTGCTTCTAATGTCATCAGATTTACTCCTTAGTCTCCAGTATTAGTATTGTTGTAATTCTTTAGCTTCGAGTCCTGTGAACCCGACAATGGATATGCGAGTGTATGCACCCGGAGATGCGAGTGTATGCACCCGAGATGCGAGTGTATGCACCCGTGAGGATGCCGAGTGCAGCACGCCGTCTGTGTATGCTGAGCAGACTGGCGCAAACCTTTGCACCTTTTTCAACTTCTTGAAAGTCTTTTACCAGATAACGGGATCTACATCAGGTTCTGCTACTCAAATGGACCTGACAAATGTCACAGCAAGTCGTGATGACTCCTTGTTTAGATTTCTTAAAGCAAACCTAGATTTTGCCAGAACGCGTGTTTACTGGTGAGGATAATTTGTTTTGACGTGTACTTTCAATAGAGATCTGCTCGGAACAGTGGCACACTCCCGATATCCCACTCTTTAGGAGGATTGTAGCCTTAGTCCGCCAGTAGCCAGGTAACTGTTTCCAGTCCTCTCGCGTCATCCCGATTTTTCACGACTGTTGCATTGCTGGGGCTGTGCTCGTACTGCTGGATTGCGTTCAGCCAGCAGTCACAGCCTGTTGATCAGGCTCTGATCCACATGAGGCCTGTCAAAGACCGCGGCCCGCGGGGCGTTGACCCCCGGAACATCTCTCCAGGTAAACTCCAGGTAATAACCATTTGTCAGACCAGCATGTATGCTTAACATAAAGGTACGAATTACAGGTAAGGAATTTCTGACGAGGTCGAAAACATCGGAAGAAGAAAATAGTCCGGCACCATATGTGTCCTGCCATGCGCTAGGTGGAGAACAAGTGTAGCAGTTTCGTAAACATGCCAACACTTTCCGTTCGTCCTGAAATCGAACCCTGGTCCTTCAGCTGTAGCTGAGGCCTGCAATTTGATAACAATTTCTACTTGAAGGCGATAAATAGGTTGATCTTAAGGGCGATAATTTAAACAAGATAAGAATGTGTAATGAGAGGTATTTGTGGCGATGGAGCTTGGACTTCCAGCATGCGTGCAATAAGCGTGTTCGATATAGTAATGGAGACGAATTGTATTTGGGACCTGACGAGCTGTTGTAGTGTGAGCCAGTTAATATTTAGTGAAGGGATTCAGTGTAAACGCGGTTAGTTTCATATAGCCGGAACTTAGTTCTGGAAATAGAATTACAAAGCCTGTCACTCTAAAGGAGGGGTTTGGGATTATTGGCAGTTTGGAGGATTAAGTTGTGTTTACTTAATACTATAAGCTATCCTAAACTGTTTTTGTTCTGAGCATCTCTGCAAAAACAGTGAAGATGTTGAGGTGAAAGTGATTGAATGATGATGAAAGTATTTTTTGGGGATTTTCTTTCTTTTGGGTCTCACCCGCCTCGTGGGAGAATGGCCGACATGTTAAAAATCAAAAAGTTAAGCGATAACTTACCATACACGCACGGTCCGAGTTCGATCCCCGGGAGCGAGTGGAAGGTGAGTATGACCTTGTCTTTCAATTTTGGGCACGTATGTCATAGACCCGGATGCTGGTAAAGATTTCTAAACAACCTGGTACTCTGTCACCACGACAGCTGACCCCATCTGCAACACCACCTCCTTCACTTGTAGTAGTAGTAGTAGTAGTAGTAGTAGTAGTAGTAAAATAGTAGAGTAGTATAGTAGTGGTGGTGGTGTAGCTAAGAAGAAGTAATTGAAGTAAAGCAGAAGTAGAAATAGTGATATCAACAGCAGGAGCAGCAGCAACAGTAGTAGTAGTAGTTATAGTAGTAGTGGTGATAGTAGTAGTTATAATATTGGTGGTAATAATAGTAGTAGTGATAGTAGTAGTTATGATATTGGTGGTAATAATAGTAGTAAAGAAGTAATAGAGTAGTATAATATGTGTACAACTAAAACAGACTCCTAAAAGTTACCCGAGGTCTCTACAGCATCTCGGTAATTATAAATTACCCCAATGGAAAATAAGTCACTCTTACTTTTTTGGGTTATCCCAGTTCTCTACCATATACAGGGCTGATGGTAGATTAATTCTATGTAACTGGAAATAATGTGTATACCTTAAATAAACTTACTTAATCAGTTATCCCTACATTGCCAACCTCCAACCCAACACCACCTGCCTCCACTCCAACATCACCTGCCTCCAACTTCTACATCAGCTACCATCACTCCAACACCCCGTGCCTCATTCCATACCTCACCTGCTCACTCCTGCATCATTTTACCTCATTCCAGCATCGTGCCTTATATATATGCGAGGATAATGTTTCCTAAACCCATGTGGGGGTTTTAAAAAAAAAAAAAAAAAAAAACTGTCGTTTAATGTCACTGGTTCTTCCATTATGGAAGAGGGAAAGCCTTCATGCCCGTGAAAGGCTGCTTGATCCAGAAAAAGGAATCTGTTTCCTCTCCTATAGATTAAGACTTAAGTTACATCCCATCCATTACGCCTTGCATGACCCTTAAGGGCTTGCACTTCCCCATGATATAATAATAATAAATAATAAAAAAAATAATAATAATAATAATAATAATAATAATAATAAAATTATGTCCTTGGATCATGCTCGTCAACCACATTAAAGTTTCCTAGATGTGTGTACAACATACAGAAGGTGAAGAATAACTAACCACAGAAACATAGTTTGCAGTGAAGTCTTGAGCAGTGAGGAGGTGTATGGGGAGCGAACTACCACAGCAGGTGAGATCTGTACCGCCATCAGGAAACACAATACACACAGTTAGTTAAGAATTTAAGATAAGATTCCAGCACTTTACAAATATTTGGCTTTTTTTTTTATATAATACTGGTTAATATTCACGTCAGTTACTTGGTGAAACTCAGCCATTTACTTACTTTTTTATTATACCTAACAACGCATCCCAATTCAGGCGCAAATATTGATTTAATGTACGAATTGTTATCCTAGGAGATGTCAGTCACACAAATACTTTTACGAGAGGAAGATTATGCATAATTTTTAACTCATGTTTTCAGGTACTGCGCTGTAATTTACTGTATTGAACTGTAATACTGTAGCGACTCAGTACTCTACACTGGACGTTCGTGTCTACGAGTTCCTCGATACAACGGATAAGGTCCTTTGCATCAGTCACTTTCCATACAACGGGTTTTCGCTAAAGCGGACATCCCCTTCTGTGTAGTTTATCACACACCGGTGACTCAGCACCAGCATTCATCCCAGTCGTTCTGCTAATATTCTGCTGATAAACAAGCAAGTTACAGGAATGTTTACCCACTGTAAATTATAAGAATTTACCTTCCATGACAGTTTGCAACTTTGGTGAAGATGAAGAGTGTTTTAACACTTTGGAATGATTTATGCGACAGTAATGTGACTACCACTGATGAATCAGGGTAATGTGACTACCACTGATGAATCAGGGTAATGTGACTACCACTGATGAATCAGGGTAATGTGACTACCACTGATGAATCAGGGTAATGTGACTACCACATGATGAATCAGGGTAATGATGACAACGCACTGATGTAAAAACATGGTAAAGTGGGGGGGTGACAAACCACTGATGAATCAGGGTAATGTTGACTAACCACTGAGAATCATGGTAATGTGACTACCATTGATGAATCAGGGTAATGTGAACTACTCACTTGATGAATCATGGTAAATAGTTACAAACCAATGAAGAATCAGGGTATTGTGACTACCACTGATGAATCAGGGTAATGTGAATACCACTGATGAATCATGGTAATGTGACAACCACTGGATTGAATCAGGGTAGATGTGTACTACCAGTGCAGAAACATGGTAAAGGTGACTACCACTGATGAATCAGGGTAATGTGACTACCACTGATTAATCAGGGTAATGTGACGCCCACATGATGAATCAGGTAATGTGACAACCACTGATGCATCAGTTTAATGTTACTACTCACTGATGAATCAGGTAACGTGACTACCACTGATGAATCAGGGTAAAGTGACGACCACTGATGAATCAGGGAAATGTTGTCTACCACTGATGAATCAGGTAATGTGACACCGACTGATGAATCAGGGTTAGATGTGACTAACACGATGAATCATGGTAATGTGACAACCACAGATGAATCAGGAAATGGGACTACACTGAATGATACATGGTAATGTGACTACCACTGATGAATCAGGAAAGTGACAACCACTGATGAATCTGGTAATGTACTACCACTGATGAATCGAGGGTAATGTGACAACCAATGATGAATCAGAGTAATGTGACAACCACTGATGGAGATCAGGGTAATGTGACTACCACTGATGAATCGGTGAATTGTGACCTACCACTGATGAATCAGGGTAAGATGTTGAGCTACCACTGAAGAATCAAGGTAATGGTGACAACCACTGATGAATCAAGGTAATGTGACTACCACTGATGAAATCAAGGTAATTGTACTACCACGAAGA